AGTGACGTCACACATTAAAAAGAACTCTAATGTGTTTTCAATTATTATTCTTTTAGAAAATGAGTAATATAAGTATATTTTCAGTGGTTACTGTAAATAAACCAAATTAAATACTAAAATAGTACAAGACAAGAAATGTAAGATTTAGGGAAGTTTACGTACAACATGCCATATTTAAGTGCGTGTGCCACTAGATCATGTGTATTAAGTAATTTATTTGAACTATCACCACCTTATTTTAGTTTTTTTAATGCACAAGCTTTAGGCTCAATTACCTAAGCCTTTTACAGGTGCAAGACCTTTAATACACATATGAATACTCATGTTAAAACCCTGAAAAGCTACTTCAAAAAAATATTATTTTATTTTTGGAAATTGTTTGTTTGTTTGTAATTAAGCACAAAGCTACACAGTGGGCTATCTGTGCTCTGCCCACCACGGGTATCGAAACCCGGGTTCTAGCGCTGTAAGTCCGCAAACATATCGCTGACTGGGGGGCATTTTTGGAACTTTATAAGAACGTTTCGACCATTCGTGTGTTTATTATAAGATAAACTGGTGTCTATTGTATAATATTTCGTATGATAAACAACACTTCAAAAAACATTGTTGTTGTTAACCGTTTTTCATACCAAGAATACAATGATGTGCCAAAGCGAGTTCAACGTACGAAAACATTGTTGTTGTTAACCGTTTTTCATACCAAGAATACAATGATGTGCCAAAGCGAGTTCAACGTACGAAAACATTGTTTCTAATAAACTGAAAGAAATTAAAGTTCTTGTTCTACAAAAGTGAATATCCACTGCATACTTTAAATAAATATCCAGAGACACGGCTTTATGAGTATGGTGATCATTAGGTAAAGTTTAGTTCATCATACGAAATATTAGACAATAGGCGCCATTTTATCTTATAATGAACACACGAGTAGCCGAAACGTTATTATAAAGTTCCAAAAATAGAATAATAATTTTTTGAAGTAACTTTTCAGGCTTTTAACGTGAGTATTCATATTTGTATTAAACGTCTTGCACCTGTAAAAGGCTTAGGTAATTGAGCCGAAAACCTTGTGCATTAAAAACTAATAGAACTAAAATATGGTGATAGTCCAAATAAATTACTTGATACAAATGTGTTTTTTTTTCAAATTAATACACACGTGCAAGACCATATCAACGAATATGAACAAACGTTGTTCATCTTCTTTTTTATTGCACAATTAAGGTTTCGAGAGGTGATATTCCAAGTTACAACGTTAATGTCCTTGTAACAGATGACAGAAAATATTGCCATTATAAAGATATATACTTTTGGTTGTTACACAATCATTTTCACATATCTTATATATTTGTAGTCAATACTATTGCTTAAGAATATCACTTAATTAAAATAATAACTATGACAATTTCATAAAAATTGGATATTCTGATACTGATAGTAAATGTGTAGCATTTGCTAATTTTATTGTTAAAAATATTAAACGTGAACAAGATAAAAATCCCTCAAATCGCCCATATCTAACTATTTGTAAACTGACAACAATTAATATATATAAACCATAAAATAATGTGTATGTAGAATTATACATGAACTTTGTTTTAAGTTAAAATACTTTTATTTGCGAGTTTTCGGCCCTCTAACCGGGGTCTTCATCAGGCATCAATGTACTGAGCGATAAAAATTCGTTTAACTTTCGAACACTATTTTAAAATAGGTATCTAGGCAACAATCGTAGCAATAACTGATATCTGGTATTAAAGTTATTAAACATATAGAATTATGATGAATATAGAAGATAAATCTTTAGCTTCAATATAAAAAACATAAGGAAAATACAATTATAGGTATTACATAGAAAAACAAAAATAAAGAAATT